TGCCTGGTGAAGTTAAGCCTAGATCAGTGGTTCTCAACCTTGGCTGCACATTAGAATCACCTGGGAATCTTTTTAAAATCCTGATTTTTGGGCCTCACTCTCCGGAAATTCTGTTTCTTTGTTACTAATGTAGTGGCCCCACCCCATAACAAAGAAACAGCATTTCCGGAGGATGAGGCCCAGAAATCAGGATTTTAAAAAGATTCCCAGGTGATTCTAATGTGCAGCCAAGGTTGAGAACCACTGGCCTAGATGCATATTTGCTGGGTGAATGAGGGGATCTGGGTACCACTGGTGTTATTAGTACTGACTAGAGAAGGGTCCTCAAACTACGGCCCGCGGGCCACATGCAAATACAAATATTGTATTTGTTCCCGTTTTGTTTTTTACTTCAAAATAAGATATGTGCAGTGTGCATAGGAATTTGTTCATAGTTTTTTTTTAAACTATAGTCCGGCCCTCCAACGGTCTGAGGGACAGTGAACTGGCCCCCTGTTTAAAAAGTTTGAGGACCCCTGACCTAGAGCATTAAAATTCTATCTAAAAATTATTTTACCTTAAGATAGAAAATCCAGTAAAATAAAATGCTTTCACCCTTAGGGGGCTCTTGCAGTCCGGGCCCCCTTGCTCCTTACCGCCCGCCTACAGCAGAGGTGGCAGGAGGGGCTTCCGCCACCGCCGCAGCACTCGCCAGGTGAGCCCGGCTTCTGGCCTAGTGGCACTTCCCCTGTGGGAGCACACTGACCACCAGGGGGCAGCTCCTGCATTGAGCGTCTGTCCCCTGGTGGTCGGTGTAAATCATAGCGACCGGTTGTTCCACCGTTCGGTCGATTTGCATATTATGGTTTTATTATATAGGATAGGATAGGATGTTGTAGGTAGATAGATGGGAGCAGAGCAAGGACGATGGACCAGGTACAGGTCACCAGGGCAGAACCCCTGGACACCTAGTGATGAGAAAGAACTGGTAGTGCAGATATTGGAGATAATCAATTCAAGACCATGCCCCTAGGACTGCTCTCCACCCTAGAATGGCAGGCATTGCTGGAGGCCCTCTCTCCACCCTAGCGAGCCTCGGGTCATGGGGGCGGGATTTCCCGGCCTTTTGTCCTCTTGCACTTGGTTAGTCAGGTGGCAGACCCCCACCCATAGATGACAAGGGAGAGGGGCTGGAGGAAAGCCCCATCTGACTTCCATGCAAGGACAGGCGACAGGCCGGCCCCTGACAGGTCAGTCTGAAGAAGAAAGCAGTAAATTCCCCTCCGAGGCTTTAAAAGGAATCCTAGCCATTCCCCAGGGCAGCTCTTCGAGTGTCCTTTCTCTTTGCTTGCTCAAATGAATCTTCTCTAGCGAGTTCGGGTCTTGGCTCTGAATTCTTCTCTTAGCTGGAACCCAAGTAGGAGGTTGCTGAGCCCAGCTTTGGTCGGACCCCACCGGTGAGACACCTGGTGCGTTTCCCGCGGCCTACAACGACCCTTTTTATCATTAATGTTATTATGCAGATAGTGCCGAAGTACAGCAGGAAGAGTCGAAGGCACAGGAAGGCACGAAGACAAACCCTGAAAATAGTTTCCAGGGCGCTTTGGCCCCGATGAAAAAAGCCTAACTGTGTGCCTTCCAGCCGCGTCCCCCGCCTGCGAGGTTCAGAGTAACTCCCGCTCCAGTCCCAAGAT